GCCCATGCCGGGATGTTGGTTGCATCATCCGAATAAACAGATATGAGTCCACCTTTGCGCAATCTTTCCAACCTGCAAGTTCTAGCTCATTCCAGGTTGGGCAATGTGACAGCGGCAAGTTCAAGTCACCACAGATAACTGCGGGCCCTGTGAATTTTCGTCCACGTTCGGCCGCGCGGGCCAGCAATTGGTGGGTCAAGTCAAATGGCGGGTGAGCTACACCATAGATAACAATAATTAGCATTGGGCCGAACCCAGGTGTTGTGACAACCACATCAAAAAAACGGGTAGAGGAATACAAGTAGTCAGGACTGGGCCACTGGTATGGGCGGGCAGTGTACGTCGTGATCACTGCAACACCACCGGCTTTACCTCGAAATTCAGTGCTCCTTTGTTGCTGTTCAACGCAGGGACCCGAATACAGGCGCATGCTTGCTTTGAGCAAACGACTCTTAGTGCGCTTGGCAGCTGACCTTGTTGCAGAAGTCTCAGCGGCGCACCAAATACCCCTCCCCCGCTCCTGAATGACATCTTCCTTGTTGAACAGTTGGGGTTGAAGGTCCCTAACCACATGAATTGTCGAGAGAAACCATATCAGTATGGGGTCCAGGACAAGCCTTCACCAATCCGGCATGTCTTGGCCTGCAAATCGAGCAACCATGTAGGAACTGCTCCGAAATCTTGAACAAGGTGAACCAAAAAGGGTGGTATCTGGACTTGGAAATGACGACTGCAAGGGGGAAGCAATGAGCTCCCATTTGGGGCAAGTCGCACGAGAACTTGAGACAAACAACTCCCTGAAGAGATGTACACTGCTCAACGCACAAAACGATCGTCCAGGTTTATCGTACCATCTGTATTCTGGAGAAAAGGACTGGCATGTTTTAAGCAAGGACAAACAAACCGGCGAGGCAGTTGCTACTCCCAAGCTAGGCTGACAAGCTCGTTTAGAATATGTCACCTGATGTGCCTGAGCTCGAAAAGAAAAAGCACAAGCCAGAGAATTCTTCAAGATTTGGTCATGTCGGACATGTCTGCTCAGCTGTCGGAAGACAATCTGTCCACAGGGCCATAGCATGCATATCAGTCTGACACTCACTATCTGAACACTGGACACCAATGTCGCTCGCGTCGACCTCGAGTTGAAAATCTTCTCTTGCGGATTCGGCGCGGGGTCCGATAGAGTACTACCAAAGGAGCTGACAAAGTAAGACACCAAAAAACTATCATCTGCGCCACGGTTCTGAAAAGCCAAGAGGCAAACTCACCATGGATAGCGTGAGTGCTCAAAACTGAGTTCAAATCGGGACTCCGGGACTGCATGGAATTCGAAAGACCAGTACCAACCACCAACCAACCAACCACCAACCACCAACCAACAACCGACCAGCCACCGCCAACCACCAACCACCAACCACCAACCAAACACCACCAGCCACCAACTGGGTCGCCGCCGCTCTGCCGGTGTGATTTGCGTGGCAGGCGTGGTACTTGGTGCTCTCCAAGGGGTCGGATGTACGCCCTGGCACCACCACCACACCACCACCAACCACCAACCAGTATTCCAGGCGACCATGTGAGGGAAAGCTAGAGCTGCTTGGCTAAGGTACTACGTTCATCAGCAATAAGATTCAAAAGCACAGAGTTTCCCAAACACCAGTTCTCATGCAGAAAAGCGCAGAGTACTTGCGTGCCCGGAGATGTGCTGCAATGCCAAAGCACAACAGCGCCTTGCGTAATGGTGTTTCAATTTAGTAAGGTTGGAGGCCATTGCTTCTAGGTCCTAGGTTAATGGTGCTCCTAAGTGTGGAAGCCTTCTTCCTGTCAGATTCAAAGGTCTGGGACCGCTCACGGCGAGAGAGAACAGGCTTGGTGCAAACCAATGTCACGCCACCAGCATTCACGAGCACCCCAATCGAATCGTGCTCCGAAACTGAAATTATCCAACTAGCCGAGGCTTTAGCCCACATGAGTTCGTGCTGGCATGATGCAGCTATCGAGGGCTTGACGTTTGCGACCCCACTGACAAATGCTTGGGTTACCCAACAAGTGTGAGAACCGTTGACTAGGGAGGGGCCAAAGCCAGCAACGCAGCAAAAACATTTGCGGCAAAATTATGCTGCATGCCGTCCTCTCGTACCAGCCTGGCTTGGACAAGGCACTCCATCCTGACAAGTCGGCATGAAATCCGGAAGAGGATGCATCCAACGTATCCTATGTATCTTCTTTGTATGCTCTTGATACCCATTCAGAAACGGTGGGCACACTAGCCTGTAAGTGCTCTCCAGGCTCGCCAACGATACCTTCAGTCTGCCAACTAGGCCATAGGCCAATTATTGTATGAATGAAGCAAGATGGCACCGTGTTGGTAATCCTGCCAATTTCATGTCAGCTTGGCCTCAGACCTGTCTGGCACTCCCTTTCTCCGGACTAAGTCTCTGAATCCATCGGTCACAACGAAGTGCCCCTGAAACCGCATGCCATTCAGCACAGCTGAGACGCAGAATGCGAGGCACCTCGTTGTCCAACCGAAAGTACATCAGCAGCAGCTTTTTGTCCTTTCAACATTCAAACAACGAAGCAGGAAATATGTTGGCAAATACATGCAAATACCATCAAATAAGTACCTGTGGATGTCAATAATCAAGCATGTGAAGGCAGTGCTTCAAAAATGGAAAAGAAACAAACACACTTGAGACAATTGTTGCAGGCAACTATATATTATATATATATATATATGGGTTTGTATTGTTTTAAGGTTCCCCGGCCGGGATGTTTGACTATGGGGTGTGCTTCGGAGGTATGCTTCGGGGTATGCTTCGCGCAGTGTGAAGACTAAAGTAGTAGCATTTCCAGAGGGTATGCTTCAGGGTATGCTTCGGGGTATGCTTCGCCTAAGTCGAACATCCCAGTCCTACATAAACTGGACACCTTAAAAAAAGACAAGCCCATATATATTCTCTGAACCTGCCTTGAGCTCCTCCTTCTCCAGGGATCGTACAAACTCCTCACAAGTGGCATCCATTTTTCACCACAAACTGGCATTCTAGTATATTCTATTGTCCACTGTCGCACAGTTGAAAAAGTGTCCGGGGTCCATCGGGGTCCTTGTCCGTCGCTGTGTAGAGGAACTGGCGAGGACCACCACCAGGGATGCCCACCTTTACTCTCAGACTCGAGCAGACTCGATAAGTGGACAAGAAAAAAGGTCTGATCATATCTGAGCGGCCTGGTGTTGCGAAACACAGCCACACCCCATGGCCAGTTTGGCAAATCATAGGCAGCGAGCACCTGAGTCGAGGGTTTTGTTCAATCATAGGATAGATGCTGCGGCGGTGCAATTCGCATGGTCTCTCAGCCAGAACACCCAGGTCATTGTCCGATGGCCTTCGCACATCCTCAACGCTGCAGCACAAATGAGTGCTTGAGAAACAGAACTGTCACGGCCTGCAGCAATTCACTTGTCATTGCCCAAAGGCCCCCAAACGGCTTGCCAACACTGCTACGAGCCAGCTGAAGGAAGAGTCAAATGCCGCATGGCAGTATGGTGCTGTCCAGTATGGTCTTCAGAATAATTCAACCTTCAACAAAGGGCCCCCGTTTCTTGCACAACATCACTGCTCTTTGCCAATGTCAGCTATGTACATGAAGGCCCTCTGCTTTTGGATGGGCCACTAAACTATCTATGAAGAGGCCACTGCCCACACTCAATGCGGCGGAGAGGTGAAGAATTATATACAGTAATGAAACCTGTTCCCTCAGTCTTTCTTGTGACCACTGATGCAAAGACAAACAGAGATTTAATTTGAGCCATTGCAGTTTTTGACCCTCGGAGTAAACAGGTCTAAGGGAAATCTAAAGCACTCGGAGAAAGGGTTGAATCTTGCTTTCCTTCGATGTGCAAATCAGCCGATGTTCAACCCTCAAGCCTTTTGCCTTGAATGGGTCAACGTGGAAGCTCGAATAATGTCAGACTGACGATGTCAGAAAAGAACAAAGTGGATGACGGATGGCCCGGGAGCGTGGAATGTAGAAGAGGTTTATCGTGAAATATGTTTAGACTTGATGGTGCAAACATCCTGATCCGCCTGAAGGAATAGGACTTTGTTCAGGAGTCTGCCAACCGGTTGTTGACAAACATATTCAGCTGCATGAAGGAAGCACAACGCTTCAATACAATCCATTTCAAGGTCATTGCCCGTACCGTCCCACAGTTGTGTAGGTGAGACAACTGGATCTTGCAGTTCACTTGACTCATCTTGAGTGATCTTGGGCACAAAACAAATGCTTATCATGGAAGAAAATGCGGAAGTCTCCTGTCTTCACAATCTGCCACATTGCAAAGTCTGGAATCTTAATGCCTTCATTGAGAAAGCAAAGTAGTGGCGCATGTTGCTTTTCAAGTTCAAGTGCAATGGCAAAAATGCATTCTTGGCCATTGATGATGACCAGAATGAGATCAGCCGCCGCATCTGCAAATGTGATCAGACTGCCATTGGCAAGCCAAGGTTGCCATGTTTTCATACGATCTTGTGCTTTAGCAATGAAATCAGCTGAAGACTGCAGCGTGACCCAAGCACCTTCTTGTCGTACAAATGTTTTTGCACTGGTGAGGCGCTCCATTCAACATTGTTTCACTAAGGCCAGCTTAGGCAACGATTCGCCAGAGACCCCTTGTACAGCAAACAAGATCGCCACAAGTTCATGTATTTGGGAAATGGCATTCCCAACTTGGTGGAACGCCTTTCTAATGTCAAGCGGAAGCGGAAAAGTATGGGTTGTTGCAAACAAGGAAGGCTTAAAGGGGTCTTAATTTTTCCTGGTCTTATTAAAGAGGTCCAAAACAACCGTCCTTTGTTTTCTCCTTTTTCTGCAAAAACAGACACCTAATAAGGAAGGCATCCCCAACTTGCCAAAAAATCCTTCCGGAAAAGTAAATACACCAGCAAGTTTCCGGGGTTTACACCCACTTTGCCCGCTCTCCCCTACCCCCTAGACAACTCACTTCGTTCGCAGAAAGCAACTTCAGCCTAGGCTAGTGGCTGGCTTTTATAACAAATGCTTTGCGTTGCGCGGTCATGCAGTCGCAGTCAATGCCGTCATCGGGCGCTCAGATGGTGAGGCGTCTGCAGGGATTCGAGCGGAGTTGGTGAATCAAGACGCAACAGTGCATAGAAGACTTGACATTGACTCTCAGTGTCAAACCAACATATTTCATATTTTAAACATTCTTAAGCAATATTTAGTTCCAAATGCCATGCGCATTTCGTCACCATTGCCTGTGCAGCTGCCAGAGTGCTGATCCAACTGCCCACCTGAAGATCAAGACTTCACGTGACTTGAAGCCCATTCCAAAGCAACTAACCAACTCTTGAGTTCCCAGCTCTCGTCAAAGAACGCAATCAATTCTTCTGGACCTAAGTTGAAATATGCTAGAATGTTCGACTCAATGCTGGTTCTCAACAGCGAAAAGTGCTCCAAAGGCTTCCCCACTCGGCTTGTAAACGAGGGAGCGCTCCCTGCTTGAAAAGGAAGGGTGGCTGACACGTATTTGCAGATGTATTTTGCCTTCTTTCTTCCAAACTGACTTCACTCAACCACATTTTGCACATGACCCGTCTCCCTTTTCTATCAAACTATCTGTGTGGCTCCTGACACCAATCCCCCGCACCAAAGCAGCATGCAATGAGCCTCTCTCGGATCAAAGGGTTGTCGGTGAAGAGAACAGCTTCACCTGCAGAAGTATGAAGAGCAAGGCTTCACTTAAAATACTTGATTTGACTTTGCAGGCTCTAATTTAAGCAACTAGCAAGCCAGTGCTATGAATCCGTCAAGCCCCAAGTGGATCCAATTGGAGAGAATTAGCCTTCAGATCAAAAGTTTTGGATCAAACCTGCCTCCATCTTGACCAGATGCCTTGGTTTGCTCAAAGCCATTTGGGACTCAGTGAGTTCTACAGAGTCATGAAGCTTTTGCACAAAAGCCTGGCCTGGCGCAAGATTCCTTGATAAACGAGCAAGTCATCCACCTAAGGTGGAACACCGGCGTTGGATTCAGTGCATTAGATTGCATGGCTTTTGCCTGTCTCAACTCTTGCGAGGCAAGTTAGGCAAGTTGCATAGATTTCAAGGTCTCGCACTCCTCTACCAGGTGTCCTGGTCACGCAATATGAACAACATTGTCACTACATACGGAGTCGCACTGAGTTCGTTGACCTGGAGTAGTTCCAGAACTTGATGGCAGAGATCTGTGTCGGCTCATCGAAAACAAGCTCCACCTGGCAGCAAGGTTGTAACAGCGGCAAGAATGTGGACAAAAAATGCTTGATTGGACTCCAACAACCACTGGGGCTGTGACAAAGTTTGCAGGTAGGCGGTAGTATGGGGCCAGCCTGCTGTCATGCACAGCCAAAAAGTTTCGATCATGGCATCTAAATTTGAAACGACATAGCAATCCCAGCACCGGCAAGAATCCGCCTGTGCAATTACATCACTCAACGGGTTGGCTGTTAGGTTTGTAAACAGAGTTTCAGGATTCAGGGTGCAAGTTGAAACAGAATCACTTGCTAATTTAGCTCGTGTGCCACCTATGTGCTGCAACTGGATTCAGAATCACCAGCCATTCAAAAGAATGTTCGACAGAATGCAACGGCGGGCACTGACCGTGACACGGGTTTGCTGCTTGCTCAACTATGGACTGCAAAAGGCAGCCTGCTGTTCATATGTGTACAATATAATTGACAATCTTATCTTAGTTCCCCAAGTGTAGCGTGTTGCTCGCATTTATGAGCAGTGTCTCTAGGAAACACCGTCAGCTTCCAAATCGCATTAAACATTATGTTGAACACTCCGACATCACTTGTGCAGGACAATGTGTTCTACCCCAAAAGAACGATGCTTTTCCCTGGTCTGAAATATCTTGGTGTTGGGTGCGCGACTTATTACATGCTTGGGCTGCGCTGAAATATGTCTAGATGAGAAACTTCCTACTCACCACTTCACAACTCACCACACACCACATCATGTCTTGGATATGACATGTTTTCGAGCCTCCCTTTGGAACTAGCTCCGGGTTCACCCTTGTAACCTTGCTCGGGAACCTGTGGAACCATTTCCGGAAGCTCTTCTAGAATCTAGAACCAAACAACAAAACAACCTCCTCTGGTAGCCCCCGAAACCTGTTCCGAACACTGGTACCTTCCAGGAACCCTACGGCAAAACGTCCTCCAGAAACTGCCTGCCACAATCCTTTCTATATATCAGAAAACACAACCAAACGTTGGCAGTGGGGAGGGAATAGAAATCAACAGGCTCTGGCGTTCTGAGTCATGTTCGGCATGTTACAACAGAAGCCACACTTTGTGACTCAGGTAGATCCAATATTTTGATGCACTGACTGGTGAATCCTGGTGCAGAAAGCACGTGTGAATGTTGGTCATGGATTGAACAAAGCCACACCACACAGCTGGGTGGCTCGAAAGCACAACGCTGCATGGTAAACAGCTGTTCTGTAGATGATATATGCTGCCAACATGCTGTTGCCTTTGATGACTATTGTTTTGCTATTTTTACAATTGTGAGGATGGCGCTGATGATGGTGATTCAAATGGTATCAAACTCTGAGATTTGATCACATAAAATGAACAGTGATGGAGATGCAATGATGCCAATGATGTATCAAGATTAGGATGCTGAGAGCTTTCTGGTGAGGGCACTCTATTCTTTGAGACCACACTTCAACACCGGGAGAAACGGACTTTTCAGGAAAATGAAGCGAAAAAACTAGGAATAGGGAGATGCAAAAAACAATGAAAGCTGTTAAAGAAAATGAAAGGAAGATAATTCAATTATTCAAATAAAGAAGGCTGCTAGAGGAAAGAAGATGAAACCTGAGAAGGGAGGGGACGAAAGCCAGCCCTCGTAGAGATTGGGAACAACAAGAAGAGCACAATGTTTGAATTAGTGCTCGTCAGCAATTTGCTGCGGTATTTTGAGCCGTCGCTTTTGGTGGTACCATCAACAGCCAAGCGAGGTTATTGTGGTGAGACAATACATTTAGGTCTGAAATGGCTACAAGCATCACCTAAACGCTGCTACAACGCAATCTTTGTCGCCACGCGGTTTTTATCCTCAGCAGTCACGCGCGCCGCGTTGATCGACATAGACAGTCTAGGGTTTGTGCACCAAAAGGATGAGACAAGTCAGGATGATCTGGCCAGTTTGATAATACAAATTGATGAAGTTTGAGGTTGGAGGCCGTTAGTAGGTTGGAGGCCATTGCTGGTAGGTTGGAGGACATCCCTATAATGTCACAGGTCTGCCGGACTTATGGATCGCCCAGCCAACCGGACTTGTAGGGCTGGATTCCTGGTCCAGTGAGATCTCGGCACTCATGAGGTCACAGCCTGTGACTGTCCAATTCACGTTTGTAATTCTCCAAACAATGTGGTAACACTAGGGGTTCTTGCAGTAACGGCTAAGGCCAAGTTTTGTAAAATCTGTGGCTGGTTTGTGGCTCAGTTTAAAGAAATAGCCGTTCTATGTTGCAGGGAGGGGTTGGAACCCCTCAAAATAAAATAGAATCAGAGTAGCCAAGCTGAAGTCAAAACAAAATCAGAGCGGGCCAAGGTTGCAAAAACTGAGCTCTCAAAATAGATCAGTGGTAGCCAACGTCAAAAATTTGATCAGGTAAGGCAAGGATTTAGAAAGTGATTTGAGGGTAGCCACGGGCTGCGTGCAAAACATCCCAAGTCCCAAGCCTTTGCCACCTGCAAGAATGTGGGTGATCATTTTCTATCTGGAATCCTGAATTTGTATGTCTTGAGCCCTGTACAGAGAAGTGTCATCCCCAGACACGCCACAATACACAACATCTCAAAACATGACTGATTCTATAAACCAGCCTGCTAATAGAAACAGGGTCCTCGAAAAAATGGTTCAAGCCCTCCTTTGCTATTTTGAGTGTAGGCACGGCTATCAAAGAATACAGACTGAGGTTTCCAGGCCACATGGCGCTGAAAAAGAACGGTGCTTATCATTGCCCGTTTTAAAGTCAGGCTTGGGTTTTATGGAAGGGAAAAGACACGCACGTTCTGCACATTATATGCACGCACTTCTGAAAAAAAGGTCGAAACACTCATGCATCTATACCTGCACTCTGTGTCCTCCAAAACCTGCAAAGTTTATGCTCTCTGGAATAAAATGTTTCTTTGGGGAAGTGGCAACAATTATATATTTGTAGTGAGCGTCTTTGACCTTGTATTTGTTGGCTATTGATGGTGAGTGCTGGCCGCTGTCGTATTTTCGACGTATAGTTTTTCAACGCACTTTCCTCACAGCTGCTTGGGGGGACCTAGCTAGATTCCAGAAGATAGCACTCCTTTACTGAAACCCTTGTCGTCCTCCCCAAAGCCGTTACAAAGTGATCAAAAATGGAAGGCACCACCACAAATACCCAGTCTGTTAGCCATCTCTTGGGCCACGTAGACGCTACAGGGGAGCAGTACAGAAAGCAACCCTTTGCTGATACCACTGAGGTCTTTATAGTGATAACCCGCCTGCTTGCAGGTTGCTGTCTCTACGGCCGACCGTGTCCATGTTTGTTGGGGACTGCTATCCACTTGAATGAAACCCTGGCCACTTTGTGATGCTATTGATGCACTATTCAACCTTTGTAGGCATCACTTGCATCACCAAAGGCCCTTTAAAAGTTACAAGCTTCATTGCATTTGGTCCACCTATTTTTTCCGCTCTCCCCACCAGGCTCTGGGTTCACCCTACCTGCCAAGTACCACCACGCAACCACCCCGACCCCCCACACTCCCTAATACTCACTTCATCGGCTGGCTTTCGTGATAAGTATATACAAATATACGTATATCAAGGAAAATGAAAGTAACATGACAAGATTGCATAGGAACATGAAAGGAACATGACAAAACTGCATAAGGAAAATGAAAAGAGCTTAAAGGAGTCTGAAAAGGTTTTAAGGAAAATAAAACGAGAAACGAGAAGGAAAATGAGAGGTCAAACGTTGAAAGAAACTGAAAGCGAAATGAAAGGAGGGCGCGTGCCTCCACACCAGTATTCTATGAAAATCACGCCCAAGCACTCTGACACGCGTGACACCCGCAGAAGATTCTCTTTGGGAAAAGGAAAAACAAACTTCCCATGTGCTTTCAGGAAAGCAGAACTTGCTTGATCGAAACAAATACTCGAAACACCCCACCGCTGCAATGGAAGTAAATCAGACACAAAGAATCTCAGGGGGGCACCACATGCGAGAGTTCTGCGGTGCCCCCTTGAGAAGTGAGTCCTCGAGAAATTTCACAGTCTTCACAATTGCACAGTGCTTTAGACTTATCTGATATCTTCAATATTCAAGGAATATGGACACCTCTGAGCGGACATCGGCTTCCATTCCGCACAAGTCCCTTGGCCATACTGACACATCGGCACGCTTCACTGGCACTCAAGGCATGACAAGGTTCGTGGCCTGACACTCCCATGATTTGAGTATGCCCGCTTCGGCCTTTATAGTGCACTCTCTCAGATCGAATCTTGCAAAATGCTGCTGAGTCCATGAAGCTTATTGGACTGCCTCAATCCTCGACCCATTTGATCATAGATCTGGCCAGAATCATTTGTCAAACACTGCATCTCGAAAAATCCCAACAAGAAGCATTTGTGCTTCATAGTGTTGCTACAAAAGCATCATAAACCCACGCCTCGATTCCGTCAAGTCCGATGTAGTGCACCTAATGCGTCAACCAGAACTGATATGCCAAGTTAAAGTAAGAGGACAGCATCTGAGCTGTTCACATCGGACCACGTGGTGTGAAAAAGGAATTTGAAAATAAAGCCACAAGGATGCAAGGGAGTCTCATACCTCCGCAGTGATGCTGCAGTGCAAACACGGAGAGAAAACATTGACAAGCATGAGAAAACAGGCATCAAGACACGGCCAAACCATAGAGAAACTTAATTATCGAAAACACTTCATTTAGAATTTACTCACCATGTCAAGCAGGCCAGGAGTGCTGTTGCCGAAGAGGAGAATCAATGTGTTCAGGAGCTCTTCTGCCAGCAGCCGTTTTTTATAAGCACCATGCGTGCACATGATCTAAAATTGGAGTTCGGGTGGTGGAGCAGCTGCATAACAAATTTGGTGCTTCTGAAGCAATGCAAAATAACCAGGGCATCTTCCACTTTGGCTGTTGGCATCCCAGTGCTCACAATTCTCAAAGTTGTCTCCGCTCCAATCTCCTTTTTGTGCTGTCCATGCCAATGAAATAGAAATGAGTGGATAATACATAAAATATTCAGAGCTCAATGTTTACATTCAGGAAAGTTCCTGGCAAACTAAGGGTGTGTATCTGGTGTATTTACGACTATGATTGGAAACTAACCCGAATATTTATTCTCAGACGCATCCCACATCAAATGTTGCTACTTGTGCATGTGGCCTGCGGGACAGGGGTTGAGGAGGGCGCCAATTGAGCCATTGTATCGCATTCGGGAAAAAGAATTGCAGGTTGAGGAAGAACTGGTGTTCAGGCAAGGTCAAAAGGGACTCTTCGCTGCCAATTGCATGTGCACTTGGTAGTAGAGTTACCTGGGATCTTCTGGAGCCTATTGGGCAAATCCAAAAGCTTCGGAGTTCTGGCGGCAGCTTCTTGCGATGCAGAATCCACAACGCAAGGATGGTTCCGTGGACACAATGAATCAAACCCCAACCTAGCAACAGTTGGACCCAAGGCTTGCAAATCTTGGGGACCAGTTAACCCTGTGAATGCTGAGAAACAACTGAAGAGGTTGGACGCACCGACTCAAACCCAAAGGGTTTGCAAGAGGTCAGCACGACAGGGGGTTCTGTATCTAAGAACATCACAGTATTGGCGCGGCTGAACAGTTGAAATAAGTGCTGCACACTTTCCAGAAGAAATCCAATGCCTTCATAAAACAACGCGCAATTTGTTTTTGATTCGGAAACCAGCGAACCCTGACAGCAGCGCTCCAAGATCGGCTCATGTTGCCCATATTTTTTGATTCCAGAGCCAACACACATGACGAACTGCAAGAAGCATTCATGAACCAAGTGGGAGATTGCCAGGTGCTAGATTCACACATCACATCAGGGTCACTCACATCGACTTTGGGACAGGTATGCGTGACATGCCGCTTGCGCCGCTTGCGCTGCTTGCACTGCTTGCGCCATTTGTGCCGTTTGCGAATCTTGCGCTGCTTGCGCCGCCTGCGCCGTTTGCGCTGCCTGCCGTGCCTCGCCTCCGACAGCCTTCGACACTGTGACTTCCGGGGCACAGCGCGCAAGGAGTGCGAGCGGGGTGCTTTGGGCGCACGCGGTCATGTGCGCACGTAGCAGTGGGCATAGTAAGTAGGTCTGCACAAGTAAACTCATTTCCGGTGCAAATTAAAACTTGTTTGGAACCGGGCACTCCGAAAATGTTGTATAGAATGCCGCAATAATGTTTCAATACATGCCAGAAATTTTGACAGATTGAAATGTCATGGCGGGGATCACTCGAAGTGATGTAATTTCTTCATACTTAGATCAGCCGTTGCTTTGCTAGTGCACTAAGGCTTTAAAGGACTTGGCTTTAAAGGACTGTATTTACCAAGTAGTATCTGACTAGCACCTCTTTCAAAATGTTATAGCACCGTTTTAGTAATTGCGGCACGCAGCTCCAACATCATATGAAAATTAAACAAAAATTGGTTTAGCTCATTATATAGTCAAACTGAAGTTGTGAATGTTGTCTGCTATATGTAGCCATTAGCTAAATTCCTTTAGCTAGGTTGGGCTCACTTGCTAATAGTTAACTAAACTATCAAGCCTATAAAGACATAAAGATGTCATTTTTTAGCTTCCCCAAATTGAAACACGACTTTGCACAATGGAGCGGATGGAGCGGATGGAGCGGATGGAGCGGATGGCGCGGGTGGAGCGGATGGAGCGGATGGAGCGGATGGAGCGGATGGCGTGGATGGCGCGGATGGAGCGGATGGAGCGGATGGAGCGGATGGCGCGGATGGAGCGGATGGAGCGGATGGAGCGGATGGCGCAGGTGGAGCGGATGGAGCGGATGGAGCGGGTGGAGTGGATGGAGCAGGTGGAGCGGATGGAGCGGAAGACGCTGATCCCTCTCGCAATGAAATCATCCCACTGAACATAGACAATCCGACACGAAGAGAACTGAATGTTTGTGAGTTCTTGAGTGCCCAACTTTCCACTCTGCAACGCCGGCTGGCAAATGTAATGCATTCAGCTTTGGTGTAGTGTGACTGTTCACACCCCTGCCAGGACACCGGGCCCCACGCGATCAAGCCCTTACACAGGCTTGACGGGCTCACAGGCTTCAATCTACATACTCTACTGGCTCACGGGCTTCACTTTACGGACTCTATTGGCTCTATGGGACTCACGGGCCTGCGGGCTTGTCTTCTGCTTCTTCTGTGTGCGTTTCATCGTCGTCCGTCCTCCTTTTTCTTCTGTCTGGTTCTTCTTGTTCCTTGTTCTTCTCTTGCTATTCTTACCTTTTGTTCTTCTACCTGCTCCTTTTGTTGTTCTACCTGCTTCTTTTCTGTACCTTGGTTGGGCGGCGGGTTGGTTAACCTTTCTTTACAGTCCTCATGACCTCCCCGACATAAGTAGACCCCAGGGGTGCATGTAAATAATGCTATCTAAAACTAAAAGACTATGCAACTGCAAAAGTGCTCTTGAGAGGGAGGACCCGAGATTATTGAGTTGATAAATATAGTCATATCATGTCATATCATTATGTAATATTTATAATTACAAGCGTGCTCAAGAAACATTGCTGGCCAAGATTGTGTGATCGACATGAGTGAGCCATGTTGTTTAGGTTTCAGAGTTTGCCGAATGCAGAATACTACCCGCAAGAGGAACTACAGTAGGTCTTACGCCAATCATGAGATGCACAAGTCCTGACACATGTCACTTGTCAAAGATGGCAGGGAGCATTGAAGAGGCAAATGAATCGAGGGTCGGCTGGGAATCTCACTGACGTTTAGCCTCACGTGACCTGTGCACGCTCTACGGCCCTACTTATCACTATCGCTGGCTGAAAAAAGATCAGCAGGCTCCAGGAAGATCTAAGAGGTGCTCAAGGTCTTTTGCATTTTGTGCTTGCGTCCGGTACTTCATCATTAGACGAATCAATGTCTACCATAGATTTGCCTAAGTAAGACTGTCACGAAGACAAGGGTTGTGTACCAATTGTCAAAGCAGAATTGCTAAAATCTTAACCAAACAACTGTGTCCTGTGGGGTGGTGGCAGCTGGGCACAGGAGGGCTCCTAAACAGTAAGCCATGGTGTTGAGTCTTACGGATACAGTAAGCAAGCAGGATAGGATAGGATAGGATAGGATAGGGGTGCTGGATCTTTTGGCGGATCCTCTACTACTGGCCCCACGGGTCCATGGGCTCGGTCCCAGGAGAGGGGTGCCGCCTAAGCCTGAGGCTTCTGAAGGTCAAAGTGAATCTAGGGACTTTATACAAAGCAATACAGTAATTGTGGCTGGCAACAGATCACTAGTAGTTTGAGTCTGGGCCTATTTGATCCAGAAGGTGGCCGGCCCTGTGGAGGATGGCCTTCCGCTTTACTTCGCTGCCTGCAACTCAAACACATCCACAAACTGGTCATCGCTGGTCCTGCTTTGTCCAACCTACTTGCAGACCGGGAAGGCAAAGGAGCGGCCCGTGCAGAACGTCTCACAGTGTCCTTAGCAACTTCTCTTGGCGCAAGTTCAAAGCCAAATGCAAAGCGCACCGAAGGAGGCTGATCAAGGAGAACCAGCTGCTTGAAGTCGAAATGGGTGTGACCTGTCGAGGTTTGGTGCTTTCAAGCAACACTTTCTGCTGAAGTACAGCACCACACCTGGAGCCTTCCGACAAAGAAATGTTGAAACGTACCTCAAGATCCGTGCGAATGGAGGAAAACAGCTACATGGGTAACCAGTTGACCACCACCAGACTGCAAGCTTGAAAGGCCTGTCATCACAATGCACTGAAAATTCTCGAATGCCTCTGCAAGTGTCCTTTGCAAAAATAGCCTGTCAAAGCAGCATTCTCTCTTTACCTCTCAAATATGTGTCCTCCATATTTTTGTTGTAGTTCCAAATGTTGAATCCAGCCACCTGACTCAAGGTTTGAAGCCAGGGATTGGGAGACAAAAATGGATGATCTGGTGGCGGGGCTCAGCTTGAGTGCAGGTGAAAAAAGTGAACAGGACCATGTTTGAAATTGAGATAAGGTCAGGTGAGAAATTGAGTTGATGGAGAGAGAGGGAGCGAGGAATAAAGGCAATGGAAAGAAGGTGAAGAAACATACTGTAGTTCTCAAAAAGTTGGCAATGGTCATAAGAACAGAATGAGGAGGACATCTTGGAACGGATGTTTCTGTCAGAATTTGAGACTGTTTCTATTCTCCTCTCTAGTCAATGCACGTGGATCCCCAGAGCTTCCGTGGTACGCGCCCAGACCCAACCTGTTTGGCCCAAACTCCGACCTTTTTGACCAGCAGCTGCAGTGGCTTGCGGCTTAAGTCGGACTCGAAAAAGGAAAAAAAACTACAGTAAGTATATCTTGCCATTAGCAAGGGCGATGCCATACAAGATCGAAACCTAGGTAGGAACCACCCTTTCAAATAGCCATGAGCTTCGCTTGAACCTCCCAGTTCACCAAAGTCGGGCATGTCGCGCCTCGCATGGGTTGGCGAAGTCAAGGCGGATTGTATTTCGCTGATTCTGGGCAGACGACACTGTGTGTATCAGTTGTCACCAAAGCGTTTGAACAGAAAACAGCAATGATGAAATGGCACAATCTGACACTACGGACCGCTTCAGAAGCATCGCCGACGGAGTTGTTGGGCACCTACATTGTCAATCAGAAGGAAAACAGCAGTGCTCCTCTCATATTTATCTTGCTACCTTGAGAAAGGGAGCGAGCCACATGTGAGAGTCATCAGTGGTACAACAAACCTGCCGTGGCAAAATTGGCAGGTCATGATGCATGCTTTCAATTACACCGCCACCCTAACTTCATGTCGTGTGTTGTTTGAAGAAAGAAACCAAAACCATCAACTGTATGATACTGTATGCTCCCATATGCAAAACAGAAGTGGCCAAATATGTACTGAACAGTAGTTGCTGTGAGAACCCGCGCTGATAACTGTGCCACTTGCGCCCCGTCAAAGATGTTGTCCAGGATTCGAAGATCATCATCAACTCCCTGCCACACCACCGATAAGCAATTCAGGTGTGTATGCCAACAAGCTCTGGTGTTCTTGGCCTCCAGGTCATTCAAGTCTCTTGGAAATGCATCAAGTCTCACCTGCACAAACTATATCTGGTTTATAGATACACTTCTAACATACCAACAACAACTTCAAACATGTATCTTCTCAAAACATGGCAACATCTTTGAAGTCTCAACTTGGAGCCTGATGACGTTGAATTGCATTCAGCGAGCTGTCCAGAACCTGAGATGACATCATTCAAGTTTGTGGTCCAAGTGCTGTCCGGGACATCTTCAGCGCCTCAAGTGCTGTTAGACCAACATAGAACTGATCTCCCCACGTCGAGTGGACCTGTCAAGCATTCTGCAAATTTAGTTCCAGTTAAGATTCTGCACTTATAGATAGAAGCTTCAAGTTCGTAGGAGTCTCAAACATGGTTCAAGACAGTGCACCACTTTTTGCACTCTCGAACAACCCCTACAAAATCAATCACGAGCATTATCTCGTATTCAGCTGTCATTGCAAGAAGCCAGCCAGACAGTAATCGTCAGACTGCTACACACCTGACACCAAGTGCGGACAGAATCAGCTGCAAGGATTCCAAATCGGCCCCATTGTTCTGGTCTAATCGACCTTTGACTAGATTCCTGGAGACAGAGCCTGTAAGTGTATACTGCATATAAACTCATATTTGTTTAAAGTTAGTGTGTGTGTGTGTGAGCAAGACATAAATAGACACTTGAAATTGTATGTATCCAGTTTGTATGGCTTCCTGTCTTCCGAACCCAGCCAAACCCAACCGCCTAGCCTTCCCTCGAGGTCTTTGTCGCTCTGTTGCTCGAGTCATAGGTCTTCCATCCAGACCAGCCCGAGGAGTCTTCTGGTCAGGTGCCACGTGCACCATAGCTTGGAACCAAAGCAAAGACTTCAATATATACTTGTTTGGTTTCTTTGATACACATTCTCTTGGATGCCCATTTCATCTGATGTCAGTCTTCTTTTTTTCTCTTTCCATAGCGCATGAAAGAGGTGCATGGAGGGTGCATTCTGTCCCCACCTGCCCCCTGGGCGAGTCAACGTAGCTTACCTAAAGGTGTCGCTCGTTGTGCTCATGGGGTCAGCATGCTTGCATGAATCATTTGGTACGACTAGTTCAAAACATTTGTATATACACTACTCTGCTCGTTGAGAAATCCCCAGCTCAAGCCTTTCAATTGGGGAGTGGGTCAGCCCAAAACCATGTAAAGGCATGTGCTTCCCATATTCGCAGCACTAAGAGAAGACTCTCTGCTTTGGCGCTCCAAGACTGCCCGCCTGCAAGCCTGCTGTTGGCGGCCTTCCCTCCCCAGCTTTGCCGTCAGCCTGCATCTTTCTTGCGCAGCGGTCTGATCTTTTTGGGGGGTAGGCCGCGAGTAGCTAGGTAGCCAGTAGTAGCTAGAGGTAGCTAGTACGGCGAGGTAGCTACTACTTACAAGCAGCTACTACTTAGGACAAAGGATAGCTCACACTTCTTCAAGGAAGCTCCCCCCGCCGCCCTGAAGGTGGCGGGGGAAGCTTTCTTGAAGAGGCACTCGCACTATTCATTTGGTTCCTAGATCTTTAGGGACAGAGGATTGGCCTCCAACCTAAGAACGATGGCCTCCACCCTAGTAGCAATAGCTTTCCTTGATTCAGGAGATCCTCTTCCGACATGTGAAAATGCAAGTGAATGTCTTGGATACTTGACTTGGCCCACACATTCAGCAGTTACAACCTAAAACTTGCAGTGCATCTGTCCACATGTGTCAATCACACAGCCTTATACTAAACAAACCAGTCAGTTTCGGTGCCTCCTCACCAGGTTCCTGTGTGGAAAGCGAGACTTCAGCGCAGGCTTTGCTGACAACACTCAATGGGTGCCTCCTCTTCGGAGTCCAGCGGAAGACAAGCCGGAAGCCAGTCATGCTCTGCAACAGCCTGAAGATATGACGCATTTAGTTGACACCTTGATGTCTGCCTTTGGCCTCAAGCACAGACTCATCCTGTGTGAACAGAATCACTTCGCAGGCCTCCACCGCAATAGGATAGCCAAAAAGAACTAGACGACGGTTGGCCCGAGAGCGAGAAAGGATTGTCAAGCAGTTCCGAGAAAAGAAATAGTTAAAATCGAGTTGTCCAAGAGCCACGACTTCTTTATACAATCTGTTATTGAGTAAGAAGCTGCGAAGAATTTAGATTTAACATATTAAGAGAATAGATATGTAGAAAGAGAGAAAGAGAGGGCGGATGTGAAGGAGTGACAGTGTGGATGTGCAGATGTGTGGGTGTGTTTACACCAGCCTGTTTCGCGCTCCCCAGTGGCACGGCGCCACGCAAATGCGCTTTCCACCAAGGCCGCGCAAGTCCGCATGGCACTGCGACATCACGGACGTAAATCGCCACACGGTCTGCCCACACACTCGAAGCAATCCTATCACACGACACCGCCAAACATCCCGCTCACCAGCGACACGCCGCGTTTACACCAGCGTGTTTCGCGCTCCCCGGTGGCACGGCGCCACGCAAACGCACTTCCCACCAAGGCCGCGCAAATCCGCATGGCACTGCGACATCACGGACGTAATTTCGCCGCACGGTCTGCCCACACACTACAAGCAATCATATCACACGAGACCGCCAATCACCCCGCTCACCAGCGACACGCCGCATTTACACCACGCAAACGCACTTTCCACCAAGGCCGCGCAAATCCGCATGGCACTGCGACATCACGAACGTAATTTCGCCACACGGTCTGTCCACACACTACAAGCAATCATATCACACGAGACCGCCAATCACCCCGCTCACCAGCGACACGCCGCATTTACACCAGCATGCTTCGCGCTCCCCAGTGGCACGGCGCCACGCAAATGCACTTCCCACCAAGACCTCACAAATCTGGCACTGCGACATCACCAACGTAATTCGCCACACGACACTACAAGCAATCATATCACACTAGAAGCAAACACCTCTGGGTCCAGCTCCGCAACGCTGTTTCCCGCACTACATTTGCACTACAAACTGGCCACTTCTGAACCCACCTCCAAAAAGCTCTTTCCCAAACTACATTTGCACTGCAAACTGCCAGGTCTGAGTCCAGCTCCGAAAAGCTCTTTCCCGCACTACATTTGTACTACAAACTGGCCACTTCTGAGTTCAGCTCCGAAAAGATCTTTCCCGCACTACGTTTGCACTGTCGCTACAAACTGGCCAGGTCTGAGTCCAGCTCCACAAGTGAAGCGCCAAGTCTCCAAAATGAGCGCTTCGTACGAGACATCCTCCAAAAGTGAAGCGCCAAGTCTCCAAATCGAGCGTTTCGTACGAGACTTCCTCCAAAAGTGAAGCGCCAAGTCTCCAAAACGAGCGCTTCGTACGAGACGTCCTCCAAAAGTGAAACGCCAAGTCTCCAAAACCAGCGCTTCGTACGAGACTTCCTCCAAAAGTGAAGCGCCAAGTCTCCAAAACCAGCGCTTCGTACAAGACTTCCTCCAAAAGTGATGCGCCGAGTCTCCAAAACGAGCGTTTCGTACGAGACTTCCTCCAAAAGTGAAGCGCCAAGTCTCCAAAACGAGCGCTTGGTACGACACTTCCTCCAAAAGTGAAACGCCCTTGACTCTCACCTGCATTTCGCGCCCTCGACACGCGCGATCTCCGCAGAGGGTTGCGCGGGACCAATCCAAAACGCAATCTCACCTGCATTTCGCGCCCTCGACACGCACGATCTCCGCAGAGGGTTGCCCGCGACAAATCCAAAACCCAATCTTGCCTGCATTTCGCGCCCTCGACGCGCACGATCTCCGCAGAGGGTTGCGTTTCGTTCCGGCGGCACCGCCCCTGGCCTTAAGAGAGAAAGAAAAGAAGAGCGACAGGATACGCAGATGTGAGATGCGCAGATGTGAAGATGAGCAGAGATGTAGATGCGCAAATGTAGATGCGCAGATGTGAAGATGTGAAGATGTAGATGAGACGTAGTTCTACAGATGCTTTTTTACGAAAAACCCTTCGCAGACGCTCTCGGGAAAAACAGCTACAGTAAAGACTCTATCAGATTCTGAAGAGTCTGAAGACCTAAACAGGACAGCCTGTCCTCTTCGGGCTCCGTTAGCACGCCGGGCGCTCGTCGAATCTGATCGTGCGCAAGATCACCCCAATTGGGCTCACAATGCAGCTGCACCTCACCCAGAAAAATCGGGAAACCGTCCAGCAGGATCTCCATGTCCCTGCGGCCGTCCAACTTGGTGGAAATCCAAGAACTGTCCCAAAATCCTGCCTCACACCTCTGCTTGAATGCAAGCGAGACTTGTTGTAGTTCCAGACCTAAGCATTGAGCCGCATATCTAACGGACCCTCTGTGTGTCTTCCATTGACGCCACAAATATCTGAGACACTCTAATCATGCTGATCTCCATCTCGCATTCCAAATCGACTGTGATCTGCGAGCAGGCCAGCTCTTGGCTAGCAGTGACTAGCTTGCTAAGGCTTCTATGAAAGCTCCACAAAAAGAATCCGTGAAATTCGCACCGTGTGAGCTCGGCCACCAAAGAAAGGAGCCAACCTTTTTGCAAGTAAGAAAGGAATGGACAGAGCAAAGGAAATGAAGGACATCTTTTAATTCAGGAGAAGAGCCAAATGCTTTCGCCATTGGACGATCAAGACGGGTTGTGGCCAAGGCTGGGGCCAGACATGAAGGTCATCTCGAGTCAAATTGACCTCTAACCCACTCAAAAAGAAACAACATATACAGTTATTGTACGCCATACATTCAATAATACGACCTGATCGAAGAGCTTGTCTGGAGTACGGGGATCACGGTCGTAGTCGCCAAGGACCTCGACACAACGACTCTCTTTTGTCTGGACAATGTGTCATTTCAGCCATGTGGCGTTGATGGAATGAGGATCTGCTTTGACCTGAACACAACCACGTGGAAGGAGCGGATTGAGTGGGAAAGAGAGCAAGGAAGCATTGCGCACAAAACATCAGAGCCGCACCTGGCGACCAACATCTTTCAAAACGACTGGAAAGCCACGTCCATCAAACAATTCGATCTTAGTCCAGTGAAATTCAAGATCAGACTTGATTTGACCGCTTGAAGCGTTTCATGACATTATATGTAGATCACCTGGTGGATGCAGTAGCTTGGCTTCAGACTCCTGCAAGACCTACAAAGTCCTTGTCACCCCAAGTGGACACGCAGTTGAAAACCAATTGCCTCAACTGATTCAACTGAAAAAGAACAAGTTGATTTGAACTGATGTTGTAATGAACGCATGACTGATAAAGCCCTTCTAGCACATCCCACCTTCCACAAGGAAGAGTGGGAATTACCGCCTCAGTCGTGACTTGTTTCTTTGCTTCCTGGACCGAAGCCTTTGATTGAACATTTGGCAAGGGTGAGGACGCTTTGAAGTTGGCTGAGTTGGCTGGCAACAAGGGATGAACCTTGGTCACATCGCCGGCTCTCAAGTCAGCTTCCAATATGAACATCAAGGCAGAGGCCCATAACACGTGGCTCCGATGACATCAAGCCTCACCAAAATACTGCCAACACAAATGGCAAACAAATCCCGAAAAGGTTCTATTCGAAGGTTCCTACTGTTTCATCAGTATCTCAGCAATGGGCTATCCAGCACGTCGGTTCCATCGAAGGTTCGAACAGGAAGATCAAGCCCCATCGCTGCTGCCTTGACCACAAAGAAACCCATGGACACATTGGTGTTAGAGAATATACCCCGGTTGAGTTGTCTGATGCAACGTTGCGGGCGGGCTGAACTCAGAAAGAGCAGGCCCTCAGTTTCTGAAGGTCAAGGACATTGGCCACAGATCTGGGCGGTGTGGAAATGCAAGGGGACAGTGCAAGGGCATCGGGCATGTGTGTGACCAGTCCTTTGTTCCACCTTTCCTGGCTGCTGTGTCATTCTGTGTCTACCCATAGCACGCACGATACAAATACAGTTCTACCGCCTTGCCTCTTGTTGGCTCAATTTCAGGTCAAATTGTCCAGAGGAAAGACTGGCAACTTCGAAGAACAAATTCATGTGTCCCGCTCTTCCTTGATATATTTACCTTTCTTGCTCACGCGTGTAGTGAAGCACTTCAATTACACCACCAAACAGTTTGTGATTTTCAAGATCGGAACACTCTGCAACTAGAGCTTGCGACGTCCAGAGCTGGCAAACAAAGGATTGCAAGGCAGAGGCGGCCACAGCAGTCCAGAGCTGGAGACAAATGCAGACACAGGGAGACAAATGTAAAGGATTGCAAGCAACATGCGGCCCAGAGCTGGGTGACAAATGTAAAGGATTGCAGAGGGCAGAGCAGGAAGACAAATGTGAAGGGTTGCAAGCGAGAGGGGGAGAGAGGAGGCACATGTAAAGGAAAGAAGGCAGACAAGGCGGACACAAGGGACAAGAAGGGAGAAAAAAACAAACAGAAGGGAGACAAGACGGACACAATGACCAACAAGAAGGGAGACAAGACCGGAGACAAAGGGAGACAAGGCAGACACAATGACCAACAAGAAGGGAGACAAAAGGAAGCAGAAGGGAGACAAGACGGACACAGTGACCAACAACAAGTGGGACAAGACCAGAAACAAAAAGAAACAGAAGGAAGACAAGGCGGACACGAAACAGAAGCGAGACAAGACCGGAGACAAAGGGAGACAGAAGGGAGACATGCGGACACAATGAAGGGAGACAAAAAGGCAGACAAAGACAAGGCGGGCACAATGACCAACAAGAAGGGAGACAAAAGGAAACAGAAGGGAGACAAGACGGACACAGTGACCAACAACAAGGGGGACAAGACCAGAAACAAAAAAGAAACAGAAGGAAGACAAGGCGGACACGAAACAGAAGGGAGACAAGACCCGAGACAAAGGGAGACAGAAGGGACGAGGCGGACACAATGACCAACAAGAGGGAGACAAAAAGGAGACGAAAGATAACAGAAGGGAGACAAGACGGACACAATGATCAACAAGAAGGGAGACAAAAGGAAACAGAAGGGAGACAAGACGGACACATTTACCCACAAGAAAGGAGACAAGATGACAAGACCAGAGACAAAGAAAGAATCAAGGGAGACAAGGCGGACACAGTGACCAACAAGAAGGGGCACAGTGACCAACAAGAAGGGAGACCAAGGGAGACAAGCGGGACGGAAAGCGGACACGCTGTCCGGCAGCAAGGCGGACACTCTTGGAAAGCATTTAGAACCCCTAACAGTAACCTGTTTGGGGCGTTACAGAAATTATGCGGGGGACAAATGAATAGAAATGCTGGAAAGGGGAAGAGGGCGGACGCCAGTGGAAAACAAAAGTAAATAAGGAACATGGCAAACAAATGAATAGAAAGGCTGCATGGCCCGCGGAAAAGGGCGGACACCAGCAGTGACAGAAAGGGCGGACACATCTTAAGAAAGAATTGAGAAACCCTACGCAACGGCAACCTGTTTGGGGAATGAAAAGAAATGTTGCATCGCCAGCGGAAAAGGGCGGACACCAGCAGTGACGCACCTGGGAAACAAATGAATAGAAATGCTACATGGGCCAGTGGTAAAGGGCAGCCACCAGCAGTGACAGACCTGGGAGGCAAATGAATAGAATTGCTACATCGCCAGGGGCGGACACCGCCAGTGACAGACCTGGGAGACAAATGAATAGACATGCTACATGGCCAACGGAAAAGGGCGGGCACCAGCAGCGACAGACCTGGGAGACAAATGCTACATGGCCAGCGGAAAAGGGCGGACACCGCCAGTGACAGACCTGGGAGACAAATGAACAGAAATGTTGCAAATGAATAGAAATGCTACATGGCCAGCGGAAAAGGGCGGACACGAGCACACAAAGGGCGGGCACATCTTAAGAAAGAATTGAGAACCCCTAACAGTAAACTGTTTGGTGGGTAAAAAACTGCATGAAAAGATACGGTCAAAAAAGATCTCAGCGCGAAAACCCAAACAGTGTCAAGTAGAACAAAATTACGCCGGCATAGAGCCCAGATAGCACTTATATAAAGAAAAGTTGGACACCATGGCAAGAGCGGGAGACAAGCTTGGGAGACATCCCACTCAAAGCCGGGAAAAGGATGGAAAAGGTAAACAAGGCCTAAATCATCTTATAACTGACAAGGCGGCAGCTGCAGCCAAGAGACAAGCTTGGGAGACAAGCCGGCAGCGGCAGCCAAGAGCGAAATCAGGAAGGGAGACTAGCTTGGGAGACAAGCTGGCAGCGGCAGCCAAGAGCGAAATCATGAAGGGAGACAAGCTTGGGAAACAAGGCAGCAGCGGCAGCCAAGAGCGAAGGTATGAAGGGAGACAAGCTTGGGGAGACAAGGTGAAATCATGCGAAATCATGAAGGGAGACAAGCTTGGGAAACAAGGCGGCAGCGGCAGCCAAGAGCGAAGGTATGAAGGGAGACAAGCTTGGGGAGACAAGGTGAAATCGTGCGAAATCATGAAGGGAGACAAGCTTGGAGACAAGGCGACAGCGGCAGCCAAGAGCGAAATCATGAAGGGAGACAAGCTTGGGAGACAAGCCGGCAGCGGCGGCCAAGAGCGAAATCATGAAGGGTCACAAAATCTGCACTTCCAGGCTCAGGAACTGCAGCACTTGCCAAAGAAGCTGCACTTGTGGCCCAGAGGGGGGAGCGAAAGCTAGGCAAAGAAACAACGCTGGGGCTCTTCTGGCAGCAAAAGCCTGGCCGGGAATCGCAACATGCCATGGCCGAGGGAAAAGGAGAGTGCCAACAGCGCCCCCCCAATACGACCCCAACACAGCCAACACATGGCAACACACAACCACTCCAGCAGCAGCAGCAGCAGCAGCAGCAGTTACCAAGCAGCAGCAGCAGCAGCAGCTACCAAGCAGCAGCAGCAGCAGCAGCTACCAAGCAGCAGCAGCATCAACAGCAGCTACCAAGCAGCTACCAAGCAGCAGCAGCAGCAGCAGCAGCAGCTACCAAGCAGCAGCTACCAAGCAGCAGCAGCAGCAGCAGCAGCAGCAGAAGCAGCAGCAGCAGCAGCAGCAGCTACCAAGCAGCAGCAGCAGCAGCAGCAGCAGCACCTACTAAGCAGCAGCAGCAGCTACCAAGCAGCGCCACCAGCTACGCACCACAGCAGCAGCAGCAGCAGCAGCAGCGCCTACCAAGCAGCAGCAGCAGCAGCAGCAGCAACCAAGCAGCAGCAGCAGCAGCAAAGAAGAAGAAGAAACATAGAAACAGGAGCAGCAGCAACTGAGAAACGGTCAGGGGTGAAGGGTGGAGTTGAACCTGCGGGGGGGAGGGGGGGTATAGCCCTATCAGGTATGAGCACTCAGGTCCTGGGCTCCCACCCTCCTTGCTAAAGCAAGACAGACTCCAGCTAGCTACAGCTAGCTTTTGTGACTTCGAGGTTCACAAAGCGCTGCACCTGCCAGGAAATCGGCACTTCAAAGTTCACAAAGCATTGCAGCTGCCACGAAATCTGCACTTGGCGTTCAAAAACCGCTGCACTTGCTAAAGAAGCTGCACTTCGAGGTTCACAAAGCGCTTGCTGCTGGCAGGAAATCGGCACTTCAAAGTAGTTCACGGTGCGTTGCGGCTGCCACTTGGCGTTCACAAACCACTGCACCTGCTAAAGAAGCGGCACTTCGAAGCTCACAAACCGCTGCACCTGCCAGGCGCAAAGCACCGCAGCTGCTGCTGCGAAGTTTGCACTTGGTGGTCCGCAAAACGCTGCGCCTGCCACAAAACCTGAACATCCAGACTCACATCGCGCAGCCCTGCCTGTGCGTTTCGCTACAAAAACACTGACACAAACAAGTTTGAGCCAAAGGGAGATACTTTCCCCAAACTTTGAAAGCGGGCCACATGTCCAAAGCTCACGATCCACTGCACCTGCCACGAAGTCGGTGCACGACAAACCGGCAAAGGACATCTCCTTCCCTTCCCATTCAATCTGAACGCTGAAAGGGTCACCAAGACAGCTCCTGGCTGAACACAGCCCAGAACAACGTCTTCTCGCGCGCATTCCGTCACACACATCTTCAGCTCAGAACATGCCCGACTAAGACATCTCTTGGTCCATGTTCCAGAAACAAAACCAGGACATCTCCTGGCGTTTCTGACCCCAGAGCTGCCAACAGCCTGCCATCATCCCAAGTAGACCATGCTCACGCAACCTGAAGACAGACAGGGTCACCAACACACCTGGCACAAATCAAGGGCTGGCCCAAAACACTTTAAAACTGCCTGCCTTCCATAAAGGATCTATCTACTCTACACCTACACACCAACTCGCGCATCATCGGCACTATTCTTGGATGTCACAAAACACACTTTGCACTTGGTCGTGGAAGCGATGATTGCGTGAGTGAATTCGTAACTGTCAGACAACGGCTGACCGCATTCCAGGCTGCGTGAACTGTCTCGACCAGCATGACAGATTCCAGAACTTTTGTGAAGAAGTTGGCGCGTCATCTTTCAGATCCTCAGACCCTGCATCAGAATCCGAGGCTCTATAGTCTGACAGTTGGGAACAGGCGGTGTAGGTACTTGCAACACGCCGCTGCGGGCCATATCAGGGGGGAGCCATGGCATTGCGACTGTAGGTTTCTGTCGACAAAACTCCTGTGAGGTGTATCTGGGCTGATCCCCCTCTGAGATCGGCAACTCTCGAAGTCCGTGGAAGAATCTGCCGGAAGGGCATGTTCATCATAGGCCGGGCATAAAGGCACCTGCAATTCTTGCACCCACGCGTTAGATCAAGCAAGGCCCGACAAGGAGAAAATGGAAGCTTCCCCTGGCAACACCTTCCCTCTGCGCTGCAAGGTGGTTGGGGGCTGTAATGTCGAAACGACAATTTGATGAACCCAAAAGAACGCCGTTTGTCTTCGATCAGGTCCTGAATGAGTGACTCGGCTCTACGCCTATCCCCAAACCTGCACCGCGCAGAGAACAGAAACAGCACGAGCCCTGCTAAGAATCTATCTTGTATCGGTGGAGCGCCGACGCAAACTTTCTCAGTGTGATAGCATGGTCGACACTCTAGCGGCGCCTGCTTCATAGGCACACTGTCGATAGCTGCCAAGCCAGAAGTGCGTTGACTGTGGGACCTCCCTCGACATACAATTGCGCTGCAGCCTGTTTGTCAGCGAAGTGCTTGACATACTGGTACGTGGACTGTACGCAGACAGGAAAGGGTATCTTGTCGGCGCCAGAACACCAAAACAGAAATGCGCGCGCACAATCTTTTGACCAATGTTCCTGTGGACTTCATGGACACAAAGTCTGCAATGGAGTCCACACAACATTGAACCGCGTGTCCGTCCTACTGCTGATGCTTCAGGCGCTGAAATGATGGCCGCCGACCACTGCTGTAAAATGCATGATACTCGGCGGGCATCATCTTCTGCAGCTGTTGGTCGATGTCTCTGCTGGTGTCTGCTAAAGACAGTGGGGAATGCTTTCGCTTAATTTCTTGAGCTCAGGCTAAGCAGTTGGGCGCTCGAAATTCTCGTCGGGTGGCAAGGTGCCGGACGTGGTCTTTTCCACTTCAAAGAATTCTGCGGCGTGGCCATTTGCATCAAAACCAACTGCGCTGCGCTCCCACTGCATCTGTTCTTGAGGCAGATCAAGCTGTTTTCCAGCTCATCATAAGCCATGGGAGCGGAAGCAAAAGGAAAACACAAACCAAGCAACCGCAGTGCCAACACTGGACAACCAGTCACATCACAGTAAAGCACTACGGTCAAGAGCAAACACATGCATGCGTCTCAAACAACATGCATGAACGAAAAAGGCTTCTATTTTCCCATACCAAAATAAGAGCAGGGCCACAAACCTAAACCCCAATAACAAGAACACTGGCAAAGAAGGAGCAGGTGACACTAACCATCTTAGATGGGGAACTCATTATACGGCTTCCATGTCTCGTGGGATGGTTTTGAATACCTAGACCTAGGGACCGATTGATGAGGCCAGCTTGAGAGCTTCACTGGCAGTTTCAGGTGAGCAATCTAATGGTCAGTGATATAAGTCTGTGCGATTGCACAATTTCGCGCGGCTTCGACCGCGAAGCGGTGTGAATAATCCAGTTGAGCGTAATATCGGGTTACAAGCTCCTAGAGCCGTGGTGCTTTCGCGAAAAGTAGCGATTGTTTGTCTGGGGGATTCTGGAAATCAGTGTTGAGGAAATCTACAAAGAGATCCTGGTGTTCTTTCATAGACGGTCCTATACCATTCAAACAAGCTCTGCCCCTACCAGAGATATGTGGCCACATGGCGTCATGTTCGTTTTCACATCGAGATTGCAACGCATTGAAGTTACCAGAATTTCTTGCGCTGAGTCATAGAAAGCTTCTTTCTGGTCAGTTACGTGGCCGCCATGTGTGGTGCACAACAACAAACAAAAGCCATGCTCACGCCTAAGGACCTCAGTCAGACTGCCATTACTCTTCCATTGACATGTTTAACTTCGTAGAGGAACGGTTTTCAGTGTGCGGTGTAACACAACTGCAATTCTGCTTGTTTTCATCAGCTTTTACTGCCTGGACATCACTGCTGAAGAAAACATCAAAGTCATTGAGTGATTCAACGCTTGAAGTATTGACCTGTGTTTCCGTCAGCAAGAGGATGTCCAGCCCTTCAGCTTTTATGATGCTCGTGACATGCTGCCGTTTTGTGATTCCGTTTTCCCCGTTTAGACCACGAATGTTGAGAGTAACTACTTTCAATGGTATGCCATACGGTAGTTTGAAGCCCTTGCCGCTTGCCCTTGTGATTTTTTTGGGTTGGGAACTCTTGCCTTGAAACTTCTATATAAAAGCTGCTTTCATCTCAGTTTTGTTGCCTGAGCCTCTGCAGGCCTTGTTGGCTTCCCATGGGGTCGATTAAGTATCTCCAAAGTCTACGGTTGGCGGATCTTTTCAAGTTAGACTTCCTACTGTTTTTTTGTCCTAGGGTTTCGTTGGGAAGCAGTGGGGCGGTTTTGGCTCTGCGCATCAAGAAAACAACGCATTTTACATAATTTTACTCTGGCCAAACGAGAAGGGAAACAACGCACAAATGCAGCAAGGAGGGGCATCTTGGACTGGGCAGGGGGGTGTCATAAGATCGCTAAACTAGCTGCTAGTTCTTGTGAACTAGTTCCCTCAGTGCCAACGGCCTCTGCCACCAGCTGCTCACAAGTATCTGCAAAACCCTGCCATGTTCGTTGCGCAGAACTAGTTGGCGATTTGGAAGATTGATAATCAATACCTGTGTCAGGTGTGATCAAGCTTTAGGACGCAAGAACGATTCAAGATACAATCGCACTTGTGCCACTTGTGCCTGACAAATGTTTGGATACAAACCAGACAGGTCCACCATTGGGGCTGGAGAGGGAGCTGGAGGAGCAGGCCTCAGAACTCAAAAGGTCATGGAATTCAATCCTGTCAATGACTGCTCATAAAAAATGATGGAGCAATTCTCTTGAGCAGAAATAGTACTTCAATATCTTGAAAGAATTGAAATTCAGGAAAATGACAGCTGCCTTCACCGTCTGCAAACGGTACGCTCAATGTCTATGATGCATACGGATGAAGAAAACAACATGGCCAGGCGCAAACCCAACTCAGAAAAATGTGCTTGAAGCGAGATCCGCTTGATGTTATCCAAGAACGTGTCTACCACACTTCGAGTACAATACCTTTGCTATAAACACAACATCTTCTGTGTGCAACATAAAAAAACTAGAAATATGCGCAGCAAAAGAGAACTCGTTTGTGGGCCGGAGTTCACGTCTTTTTAGAACCAACCTGCACTGTCCAATCTACTCAAAAGGCCTTCTAGTTGAAACACACTGAGTACGGAAAACAGTGTTCTTCAGTTTTACTTTGGCAGGCATATTATATATTTGTGAAATCTTCTGAAGACATAAGACTTATCAGCACAGGAGCACTCTTGGAGGCTTTGAGGGAGAAGCTGAGTTTGCAAGGTCTTCTGTTGTTCCTTTGAAAGTCCTTAGGCCTTAGGCCGCTTAGGCCGATTCTGCATAAATATTCATCGCTGTCAGCAACCAAGGCTACTCCTTCTTTGCAAAGAACTTCTGCCCTTTGGACTGGTTCACGCCAGCTTCCAACAACTCCAACGCAGAAATCAAAGAACAACTCTCCAAGCGGCAACGATGGCAGCATGGATGAGGAAGTGCAAAAGAAGGAACCGAGGGAACGGAGTTAAAGAAGTGAAGCAATCGAAACTTGATGAGAACAGTGAAAGAAATATAATATCTTACAAATACAAAAACCAACCAGTGAAGTAAGTGGCGATAACCAAGCGCCAGTGGCGAAAAACACACGATGGGCTGCATTTGGTTGTCTGGGGATGTTGGCAGGAAGCCGTGGATGGACAAACAATTGTTGTTTCTCCACCCTGCCGGGTGCTGTTTGGAGCCACCCCTGAATCCGGCGACGGCAGTATTGGAAACTGTGGTGGTTGGTACCTGGCGGAGGTTAGGTTGGCACATGGCCGGAAGTTCCAAATTACACGTCGCCTTAGTGAACGCGCCGGACTGATTTGCTAACCTCCTTTCGGCAACGTTCATCGAACAAGATCATTTCGCACCCGCTCTCACGTTTGCAACCAAGCATTCCCGACTTCGACCGTACGAATCTCAAGCGGCACCAAAGGATATCCTTTTATGGCCGAAACTGAAAGACGTTTCACTCAAGTGCTTGACAGCCAATTCCCGAGGGGAAAATCCATGTAAAAAATGCGCAACAGAACATAGAATGAAAAGCAACCTTGGTCAGGAGCACAATATGTAAAATGAACCGTCGCAAGAATCTCATATATACTCAGTCCTGTGTCATCCTAAAGGGCCCGAGTGGCCAGGTCTGGCTGAAACCAAAACTTCGATCAGAGATTGCGTTACCGACACGGCCCCGGTGAATACACCAGCTCTCGCGCCGCTTGCAACCAAATATCCAGAGGCGATAACCAAGCCCCGGCGGCGACAAACAAACGATGGGCTGCATTTGGCTGTCTGGGGATGTCGTCAGACCCTGCCGGGCGCCGTTTGGAGCCACCCCCCCTTAAATCCGGAGAGACGGCAATACTGGAAACTGTGGTGGTACCTGGCAGAGGTTAGGTTGGCACATGGCCGGAAGTTCCCCAAATTACGGCAAGTTGTTTCCTTGTTGTTTGCTCACTGCAACTCAATGTATCTGCCACAAACATCTTCGGACAGCACAGGCCTGGGACATTAAAGTAGTTATTCTTGCGTAGGCTTGCCGCCACAACAAAATGCAAGGTTGCTCCGGCTGTGCTAGATTTCCATCGTGAGGCAGTGACTCCAGCGCTTGCTTCGAATCCTGCAGAAGGATGTTCGTCGTAAGTTCAGCACAGAAATTTTGGCATGAGTTATGAGTCATTGCTGTCTCAACCCAGTGACATCCAGTCGCGCGTCTTCTTGGTTGAGTTTGCACACACTGATCTCGACACCAAGCTCGGAACCTCTGATTCGCTTCGTCGTCTACCAGGGAAGAACCTGCGTGCGCTAGGAAGCTTCTCACAGCTGTGATTTGTAGGCTTTTGGCCAGGTTTTCATGCTAGGATCAAGCAAAGACTCACAATACGTTTGATCAATTAAGACAGCGCTACTGAAACAAACACTGTTCTTCAACATGTGCGTATTAAGTTGTCTGGCGCCGGCATGTTTTTCTTTTGGTTTGTTGATTGCAGGGGTTCAATTGAGCGAATTCACGTGATTTTATTGTCTCACCATAAACGTGAGATGGGATATGGGTGTTTGAATCATTGTAGAAGTTGCTGTGTTCGCAATTGTGAAGAAAAAGTTTGGAGTGGTTAGACGTTCTTTCCTAATATACTTACTCTGCCTCAAAATACCGGAAAAGGAGCTTGGAAGACGAACCGTAGATTTTTGACCACTGAATCTATCCGGCAAGAGACCCCAAATAGTGTTTTGCGAGTTTTAGAGGTATAGAAGAAGAAGAAGAAGGTATTGGGCTAGAGAGATCTAGGGGTCTAGAGATCCAGAGGTCTAGAGGTCTGATATCCACAGAGGCCTTGGGATGCAGAGAGATCCAGAGAGGCCTACGGCCTAGAGCTCTTGAGACCCAGAGAGTCTTGAGATCAAGACGTGTCAGGCCAGAAAGCTAGACGTTTCAAGTTCCGGGGATGTAGCATTTGAAAGCCTGGAAGGCCTAGAAGTGCAGAGAGATCTAAAGCAGAGATCTAGAGTTCTAGCGATGAGGTTTTGAGGTCCACAAAACGCTGCGCCTGTCAAGGCTCAAAAAGCGGTGCACCTGCCACGAAATCTGCGCTTTGCAGTTCACAAACTGCCACGACGTCTGAACCGACCTGCCACAAAATCTGCATTCCGAGATTCACACAATGCTTCGCCTACCACGAAATTTACACCTCGAGGACTCGAGGCTCACAAAGTGCTGCACCTGCCGCGAATTCTGCAGCTTCCACGCTCACAGAGCACTGCGCCTGCCAGGAAATCTGCACTTCAAGGTCCACAAAGCGCTGTGCCTACCACGTATTCTGCAGCTCAAGGTCCACACTGCTGCGCCTGCCACGAAATCTGCACATCAAGATTCACATCGCGCCGCCCTGCCGAGGCGCTTCGCAGCAAGAGCGCTTCCAAAGACAACACCAAGATGCCAAAAAGAAGCTTTCTCTCAAGACTTCCCCCATTTTCTCGAAAACGGGCCACATGTGCAAAGGTCTAAACTGTCCAAAGTGCTGCACCAGAACGAAATCTGCACATCAAAGTAAAGCCGCCCCGATCTGCTGCACCTGCCGAGTTTCTGCTGCGCCTGCCACAAAAGAGAAGTGGCCACCAAGTCCGAAAATGTGTACCACAACGAAAGCGCAGTCGAGGAAAGCACCCGCTCCAGTCCAGCAGATTCTGCGAGCCTACGCAGTCGAAATGCACTTCGCAGATCTCGAGGTGGATGAGTCTACCGCAAATAGCAGCGAGTTAGCCGCACACGCATACGAGCACCACCGATCAGACACCCGGCCTTAACCATTACCGTAAGAACCCCTAGTGTGACCACAGTGTTTGGGGAACCATCACAGAAAGCCGCAACCTCAGAAAGTTTTGCAGTTTCACTTGCTGCGAGCAATTCTCAACTGTTGGTTGTTGCCCCACCTTCGGCTTTGCGACGAGCGAAAAAGCTCCAGGGCTTGTAGCGACTGCCTCGATCGTGTAAGCAAAAGAACTACAGTAAAGCCAGGACACCAAGCTCTCATTTGCATACTTCTGCAACCAAAAAATGGAACGCTGCAATCAATTGCCAACCACCACGCAGCAATGCTGAGAAGCTTACAGCAGTTCTTCTTGACCATCTTCCAGTCGAGAATGACTGAGTGGAACGCAAGATTTGAGTTAAGCTGACAGATTCCAAATACTTTCCGTGCCATTTTTACAAGCCGAGACCAGCAAAGACCCTAGCCTTGCTGACCACTCGGACCTTTCCAATGTGGACGATCCTGGCATCCAAATGTTGACCTTTTTTCAACTTTGAACTGCCAGTGCCCCTTCATTTATGCCTTCCAAAGCTTCCGATTGCCTTGTATGTTGAAAGAGATACAGTATCATGTAAAGGACGTTGTTTCTACATCCATCTAAGCCATGAAAGAGAAGGTGTTGTGGCACCAAAAAGAACTAGAGACTCAGCACCTTGCGAAGGCAGCCACATGGGAATATCCTGACTTACAATATGTCGGAGGCTTTTCGGAACATGCAAACAGGACAACTACGTGGAAGATTTGCGATGGTACACTACTGTAGGCTTGTCTGTTCAATGAATTGTAAACGTGTGCTTCCAACATGTTGTTCAATCCACCCATCCTTTGCATGGTCTGCGGAAGAGGACGCTGTCTGATCCTGCCAAACAATGTTTTGAACTGCAGCCTACAGCCACTAGGCGTGAACTTCCATCCTGGAACTTTGCCATGGCCAACTCTTCTGGAAAGCCTCGTATCCAATGCTTGAGGGGAAAGGTTCGGATGTCTTCAGCGTCAAAGGCCGGTGCTTGGCTGTATTGGGATCAGAAGCGGTGTCATCATACTGCCTGTGCCCTTTGGCACTTCTCCAGTCCTTGGCTCTCAAGCTCCTGTCTACTGCATGAAACAAATGCAGATAAGAAATCTGGTCAAGGCTGCAGCCAAACCATCAAGTTGCGTTGCCAAACCTGGCTCAAATAGAGCTTTTAAAAGTGTGTGCGCCTGTTAGATGCAAACTGTTCAAAGTTGCACATCTGCCCTGGCCTCGATCTCCCGCACTCCTTTTGTCAGCCCGTCCAAGCTGTTGAAGTTCCACAACCGCAAGGCAGCCACTCGTGAACTGGCAGTATTTCAAGCAAGGACGTGTGAGTCTTTCCACATCGTTCCCTCCAAAAAGTGCGATCATGCTGAACAGCTGCATTCAGCCGTCTCTGCATCTTATAGGCCTTGCAAATCCTTTACGTACCTCTGGAGTTGCCATCATGTAGGTGTTCTCTTTGTTCTTCGGCTTGGCTTGGGTGGGGTGGGATTTCGGGGAGGAACCCGACATAGTCTCTCGGTCGAGTAGGTTGGAAGTAGGATGATTCTGGATAGGCTAGGGCGGCTACGGAATCCATGCGGGCAAAGTTACACCTTGGCAGCTTGTTTCCGATCCTTCCGACCTGCAGGGACCTGCATTTGTGTGGTCAAACGGCCTTTCAGACTGGCATCAAATGAATTGGTTTGATCCTTTTGATGGTCGTATGTGGCTGCATTGTCTCAATTTCTCTTTGGTTTCACGATTTGAGCTGTTGGGATGTTGCATCTTCACTCCGCCGGCCTTTACACTTTTTCTATGTTTCATTAGTGCATTATTGGGACGGGGGCGCGAATGTTGATGGGTCCTGCGACAGTGTTTTCAGTCAATATAGTGCACCTGCTTTCCACCTTGTGTGGCTGGTCAAGTGCATGCAAGAATCTCTCCTTGCGAGGCAGTGGTAAAACATGGTAAACCCCAAGGCTTTGACATTGCAGACCCGTCCTATGTGCCCAATGAGGCTTTAGCTAACATGTTCACGTGAAACTGGATCTGCTCCATTGGTGGTGCCGTGCTCTATACCCGTTTCCTGAAATGTCGTTAAGGAAATCAGGACTCATGACTGGCCTTCGTGGCAGGTTGAGCTTGAGATCAAAGGGCTCGAAACCACAAACAGGTCCTGCAGAATGTGCTCTTTGGCCTTAGAACGCCCCAATCACAACAAAAACAGGACCATGTGCAAAACGAGGCATCTACACACGGTTGCCAGCCACCTGCAAAGGAAGCAGCGTGACGCAAGCGAATAGGGCAAATGGTTCCAGAAGGTGCACTGAGGAAGTGACATGCTTCGAGAAGCTCTCTCGACAACCTCAGCTGAGAAACTCCCAGTAGCCGCCAGTAGCCCCAGGGTTGTGCTGACATGTGACATGTGGGACTTGACATCGGTCTGTAAAAGTTGAGCAGCACGAGCTAGAGTTGTGGATCCCTGTTGTGCACCATGAAGAGAGAGTGCAGCAGGAGGAATCTTCACAACCTTTTGCCGAGGAGAGATTGCAAGTGATTATATATATATATATATGATCACTAAGAAGAACCCTCCAAGCACCTCAGCAGCGGAGTCCAAAGCTTCAATCAGTGAGAACCCACATTGCCTTGCAATTTAGCCAGGCAACAGAAAACAGAGTCCCTTTTTTGAGATTGGTTTCACCCCAACCTCATATCGCCCCAGTTTGAGACGACTCTTATGCGGAGCTCTGCCTCACGCAGAGTGCAACAAATATTCAAAGTCAGCAAAGCTACGGCGTTTGCTGTGATTCGCTCAAACTGAAAGCTGGCAGCCCTATCCTCAGAGAGCGGATTGGACAGCCCAGATGCAGCTGCAGGACACGTAGGATCTTCAGCCTCCATGGTATACAAGAAGCATTGATACAGATCATCAAAGCTGACAATTTATTGCATGACACGCTTTGTTATCGTCCAAAGAATGTTGTGAGGAGGCTGCTAGCTAGTTTGTAGTGTTGTGGCAACTGTGGATGCCTCCAGAGATTCCAAGACTTTCATAAGGGCCTTTTGCTTCTTCGCATCAAGCCGGCTTACCTCTTGAACACAAAGCAGCAAACTCTCTGTGCCTGAGAGTAAGCTCAGGCGCCGGCTCGATCAAAAATCTCTGAAGGAAAACTGCTCGAATCCAAAGATTGAAATGTCACGCAATCACTTTGCCTTGCCGAACGGGCCAAAACCAGACCAGAAAGAAGTTCATGATGTCAACCGGTGCGTGCCGTGATGGTTCAGGCATCTCTGGAGCCTAAGCTGGAAGTGAAACAATGCCACAAGCCACTATGCCACTGGCTGTACATCTGTATTTTAAGTGGAATTGCCGCTAGAGGCACCAACACGAAAGCATTGGTTGTCGAGCCCAGGGCTTGTGGTGCAATGACAAGCTCTGTTGGCCTTGTGCCTGCAAGCTCAAAGCTTCAAAGTTAGCAATCCTATCTCAATGTGCACATTCCACCTGGATAGCCACCAGAGCTTGTCATAGAAGAGCCAACACAAACAATCGGCTGTGAGCTCGCCTCATGCAAAGCAGGTGGATCTCAGTGGTGTCATCATTCTGTTCAGCTTTGCTGTGGTCATTGCTTGCCATTGATGTTGTCATGCTGGCCTGGTACTCTTGCCATTGTCTCCTGTTGTCACACGTGTCTCTTTTAGCTGCTTTGTCACTGCGCCTGCCATGTTCGTCATTGTCGTTGTCACTGAAATGTCCTGTTTGGTGTTGCTTTCCTTGCTGTCACCACGGCTTGTTGTTGCTGTCGTCGTGGTTTGCGGCTTGTCACTGTTGAAATTGATGCTTCTCATTGTGTTTGCTCTTGCTCATAGATGTTGTCTGTATATCATGTTTTAAATGTGACCATTGTGGGTTGTCATTGATAAGCGTCGGAGGCTTGTTGGATCAATGTTGAGCTGTTCAGGCTTGTGTTAAGAATGGTTTTGAGTGACAAGACAGCCTATACCCATGCCAGTTGAATTTAGACTCCCCAGCCGGTCATGGTTTGGAGTCTTGCGTAGTTCTGAATCTGAATATGGAGACAAGTTGATGCGCAACACACTCGGAAGAGAAGCTTTTTATAAATAAATACAAAGGATGGAGAATTATTGGGTGGTAGTTCGCTGCCACTCGGCTACGGCAAAAGTGAAAAGGAAGTGATGGCATGAACAGAGCACACAAACAAATGTTGCACTTACACTGGCAGCCCACCCTGAACGGCAGGCATATCGTTTGGCTTTACAAACAGTGGCGCAGGCCAGCTTCACTTTCATGGTCCTCATCCTCGTCCCTCGTCGCCCTTACTTGTTAGACAAAGTCTCGCTTGGTGCTTTGCCTTAGCGAGAACTGACGGAGGTGCAGATTGCGCTGCTTCCTGACACCAGATTTCACTCTTCATCAAGCAAGAGCGACTTGCATGCCACGTTGTGGAAAATCTGCACAAAATGTCCACCTCAGGTCCTAGTGGAAGTCTGCTTCTCGAAGACCTTTCAAACAAAGGCAAAGTCAAAAACGCTGAAATTCAATACGTTTATGAATTATGGTGGAAAGGGTGTTCCAGCGCCAACCTTGATGATGGCCTTGATCCGCCTGAAGTGAAATCACCACCATACCTGTGCAAGCGACGGGTGGCGTGCCATGCATCCACATGCCCAGCCGTCTACATTCGGTTAACACACACACACCAAACAAAATCCCTGAGCTTACTCCCTCGGAGAAAAAAACTGCACAAAGTTCATTCGAGTCACATATGCTAGTGCTCAGCCATTGACTGCCCACCACTAGCAAGAGCAGTCAAAGTGCCAATCGATACCACCCAGACAAGCCCAGCACAGAGGCAATGAATCACATGACATGTACGTGTGAAGTGTGCAAGCAATACTTGCAAAACCGCGTTTGAATTATACAAACTATACAACCAACCACGCTGCTTCAAACAGCCAAGCGCACCCGCTTTCAGCTGGAAACACTATAACTATATTCCCCTGTGCGTCACGCGGCTTGTCTCCCAACAAAATGTCATTCATTCACGTTCGGTTTGAAGTAGGCAGGTACTCAAAAATCACTCCGCACTCACTTTTCGAGAACTCCCCCAAGCCACACATGAAACAAGTGCGGTCTCCAGCAAAGAAAACTGTTTGAACAATTTTGGTGAGCGATATCAGAGTACAGAGTTTACAGGCGCGCCAGGATGACCAATCTAGGTATGTGTCCAAACATTCCCCGTCCATTTTGAACCATCCTGTCCCTTGAAATTGTTACTTCTATTTCTTTTGATGCTCTTGAAGTTCAGATGGTGGAGTTTCAATGCGCCGCACCGCACTACCCAATGCGGTGCGACTAGTTCTGGCGCACGCCACGCTAGGATGCGCTTGTAAATGTCAATGAGGTGCACTTTCTGCTTCCAAAATCATTTTTCATGCACCAAAGCCCAACAACTCCGTTCAAAGACAAGAAGGATAGCAAAACGGGCAGGCCTATCAGAAGTAGCACCAGCCTTGGCATACAATCAAAGGTGAAGGTTTGGAAGGAAAGGTTCATTGGTCAATGACAGGGTATGTTATGTCTGTATACATATATATATATATATCTATCTATCTATCTATCTCTCTCTCTCTCTCTCTCCTCACGGGTTTACTTAAGACTTTGACACGTTTGTGAAAAACGCCCCGTTTTTTTAACGTGTTCATGTTTTAGGAAGGCAAATAGCGGAAAGAAAGAAGACGTCTGTATAGAAACCAACGTTTCAAGTTCTTCTTGGCAGTCTCACTATCAAGTGCCTGCACATCCTCTGCGGAAATGACACCATCACTGCTCCGGTCAAAACAATCAAAGGCCGATGCCCAACACTCACGGGGAAAGCCAGCAACGGAAGCACACTTTTAAGCCGCGCTCGCTTCCCAGTGCGCGTTGAGTTTTTGTCGAGGCACAGAGGCAACCGGGCACATGCTCCGAAGCCACCACTGGTGAACGTAACACTACCCCAACCCAACCCTCAGTCACTGGTATTGCGCGCGTAGCGTAGAAGGGCTTCTTCGGTGTGGGTGTGCTAATTTGAGCCGAACGTTAACATCCCACCCCACCCCACCCCACCGTGTGCAAATTGAACACAGACAACGTTAACGCGCCATCCGACCAAAACCCTCGGAGTCGTGGAACAATTCTGAAGTCGTATTTACAGTGTGCTTTACATCGACCGACGAAAACACGCGCGGAAAATATGCATATTTTTGGCGACAATTTCCGAAAAGAAACTATCCTAAATACGCGACAAATGATGTATGAAAGTGCACGTGAGGTTAAAACACTCACAGTCTTAAATAGACACGTCTGGATATATATATATATATTGTGGTTTTCTCGTGAAACCTTGTTCACCTGCAGACCGGTGATTGTGGAGAGCATTCACTTCCATGAATGCCGCTGCCGTGCGCCACCTCGAGGAGGCTCACCGGAGGGCTTAAGTGTGGTGGATCGAGGACGATCCTTCGTGGTCGTGGACGACCGTGGAGCCATAGGAGACTACGGAGGTTGCTGGACAAGCAGCGCGCAGGGCGCGCTTGAATGAATGGACTCATAAAGTCGAGTTCCTTGCACAGTTGTGGCCACCAGAACATCTTCAGCATTTGGCACCAAGGATTGCTATGCAATGTGAAGGCAGTGCATTTCAACGCTTGTCTCGGGTGAGTCCAAGGTCCTGCGCTCGAATTCGACGGACGGCGTCCAAGCGATCATAGAGGCTTTGAGAGGCATCTGGGGAAAATCACGCCTGGAGCGCTTCGAACGGGCCATACACAGCACAGTTGAAAAGGGAAATGAGACGCGCGAATCGTACCTGGCTACACGACCATCATCAGTTCGAAGAGCTGAAAAGCACATATATCTTGTTGAGGAACAGTGCACTGAGCTCTGATTACAAGAAGCACCTGATTGTCGAGTCACAGGGTTCCCTGGGCTACAAAGAGGCTGTGGCTAACCTCAAGCTCTTGGAGTCGCTTTTCCTATGAGGGAAGGCTCAAAACACCAGGACCAAAACCTGACGCAACCGCGTTCTTTGCTGACGAGGAACCCGCCATGGTGATGACCGTGGGAGATGAAGAGCCGACCTTTTTGGTGACCCCATGGAAGATGGACAGTTGGAACAATGGGCAGAGGATGGCGATCCAGACGCCATCGTACGCATGCAGTTTGGGGAAGGTCTTGTTGACACCGTACAGTCCGACTCGGACATGGCCGCCTGCATAAATGCCTATGTTGAAGCTCGCAAATGGTTGACGACCAAGGCCAAGGGCCGTGGTTTTTTGAACCCATCTCGAAAAGGATTTCGCAAGGGTCGCAAGAGCAAGGGCGACCGTTTCGAACTCCATTCTCGCAAACTGTTGGCTCAGCGAATTCTCGAACCCAACTGCCGCAGACGCAGAGCTAGGAAAGCCGAGTGTCCTTTGCGACAGCAAGGGAGCTTCCAGGAGTCTGATGTTATGGACGAGGAAGACATGAGCCTGATCGATTCGGCCACTCGGAACAATTGGCAAGTCGTGTTCATGAGTTTGGGGCATGCTCACACCACACATGTGTCTTCACCCCAAAAAAGGGACACCATCAAATCACGAGGGAACGCACGCAAAGGCTGCTGCCTTTGCTTCGAATCAAGCTGCACCCGACAAGCCCTCCGATTGAGCCTAGAATGACAGGTCCACCGGACCAAGCGATCACCTGTTTCGTAAGTCATGGAGCTTTTAGGACAGTTGATCTAGGAGCTAGTCAGACGGGAATAGGAGAACGTCAAGTTCAGGACCTTTTGCATCAGCTGCCATCACATGTCCAGGTGAAAGAAGTTCCACGCAGAACGATTTTTCGATTTGGCAACAGTAGCACAGCCGAAGGCAACCGAGCTGTCCTGATCCCGCTAGGACCTTTGTTTGTGAAGATTTGTGTTGTTCCATCACGTACACCTTTTCTGATATCCAACAATGTGCTTTGCAAGCTCGATGCATCAATCCATACTGCGACCGACACGGTCGTTTTTGGCAAGCTTGGATTTGAACTTTCGCTCAAGCTCTCTGAGAAGAAATTGTATTTGCTCGATTTTGCACAGTTGATTTCCCAGTCTCAAGAGGCATGTATAACTAAAGGTTCCATGACTGAGGAGACCGTTGTGCAGAGCAGCGTGACCGATGTCAGTTCAAACATCTGACCCCAAGCTGCGTACACAGTCGTCCAGGCTTTGCAGAGTGTGGCCACGTCCGGACTCACGGAGGATCCGGAGACTATCAGAGCTGGTCTAGACTCGGTCCCAGGCCAGCCATTCATGTCCGATAGGAGCAGTCAAGAAATTCAGTCCATCCTGGCAGATTGCTTAGGGGTCGAGACGCTGGAAGCCGATCGCAGTTTAGTCATAGACATGGCATACTTTCAAGACATCCCAAAAAAAAAGTTCAGGTCAATGTTTGGGTACATCAAGAAATGACGCAGTACTTCCGCAAACATTGTGGAACCCCCGAAGAAGTGCAAATCATCTTTCCAGGAGGGGAATAGATCTACTCGAAATCTACTGTTCTGCCGATAGTCAACTGACAAATTGACGCGTCAGGCCACCCATCTTGGTCTGAGAGCACGAAAGCATGGTGATCTTGGGGCCTTTCTTGGAAGAAGCAAACTGTGTGACCTTATCTGGGTAACAATTCCAAACCATATCTGGACGGCCCCTGGTCACAGTGGAGTCATTTGAACGCAGGAAATCCCAAGCACTGGCTATTCGCATCGCGGCCGCGCAAGAAGCTGAGAAGACCCATTTGCTGGTCTGTGGCGCCATGCGTCGTTTGCAGTTTGGTGGGGGGGCTGTAAGACACACTTCCACCTCGAACAACCGTCAGGGTCAGAACTCATCTTTCAATGATTCATTACACCAGCCAAGTTCGACACGCGCAGCGCGCGGGGGGAAATCTCTGTCATCCAAACCATCCTGATGCGGTTCTCCCGACGAAAACAAGTCCTCAGCCAATCTGTCGAACAGTGGCAATGCTAAGAATCTCCCTGTCACCTGCAGATCGCCGGTAGCTGCAATGCGGCCGGACTTGGTCCCTGTGCGTCAAGCCTGCGTCGACGTCTGGAGCGGAAGAGGTGGCGCCTGGCTCCCCGACACAGCCGACAAGCCGACATCCTGGCGCTCAGCTGCACAGCTTTCAGACAAGCCATCAAGAAAATGCCGCCGAATGCCGGTGTCTCGATACACAGGGCAATACACACAGACATTTGCTCGCCGAACCATCAAATTAAGTGTCCAGAATCAAGAAGACCAGATTGCCAAGCCTGTTTTGCAGTTGCGGAAGGAGAACCCGAAGTCAAGCGACGCCGAATAGACGGCAAGTCCTCGCCAGCACAGCCCCGCCGAAGTCTGGTGAATCTCTCGCGCCGAGCGAAGCGAGCCAGCTACAGGAAATTCTCCAAGAGCCAAACATAGCCAAGGTGCAACCAATGTTTCCTGACTGGTCTATTATTCCACCGGATACCTGTACAGCCAAACTGCCATTTCGTAGGAGTTTTGGACGAAAGCGGGATACTGGTCTCATTGTCAGCAAATCAGGGGAGGAACCCCGACAGAGATTCTAGTGACCATGTTCGCCACGGCTCCGGATGAGCCGTCTATGAGGGTTCCGGGTGAACCGCCTGCCAAGCAAGCCCGTTTGAGCGTGCCTGCCGAGTCCAATCGGTCCAAGGAGACCTCTACTGCGAGCGGCAAAGACCCGTGTCCGACCTCACCGGATGCAGCCGACCAACCCGCTGTGATGGACCAACCAAAAGTAGTTCATGGACCTATGTTTCGGGCCCTGCCAGAAAAATTGAAAATCATGATCGTAAAGCTGCACAAGAATCTTGGTCACCCAGGCGTCATGCGTATCCAATTCCCTCTCTATGGCCCATTGGCAATTTGGCCGGGCCGAACGCCACGGAGCAATCTCGAAAGCCATGTTGGACGAATTTCACGCTGAACAGCCCACTCCCAGAGAGGGACATTCATCCTGGCAACAACCTCGGCCATTGAGGATTGTAAGGGATCTAAGGTCAGCCCCTTGGTTTGGTGTTCCAAGAAGATCGCTAGAGTTGTTTCAAGCACCCTCGCTTCAGAAACATATGCATTGTCGGGAGCTTAGATCAACTGAGCTGGGTCCGCTTGCACTGGATCCAATGGCTGAAACAAACCAGACGAAACCCTCACCAAAATCCCTCCAGCATATGCAGTTGTAGACTGCAAGAGCCTGTACGACCTCCTTCAGAAGACCACGATCCCAAAGTGCAGTAAATACCGTACCTTGCTCGAAGCACTAGTGATCAAAGATAGACTAAAGGAAGGGGTCTTAATTCAGTGGGCGCATAGCGCCGCAAAGATGGCAAACGCATTAACAAAGGAGATGGATACTAGCATCCTTCATATCTTGAAACAAAGATCGGACCGACGCTTGAGACAGGAATGCCGGTGCATCGGATGCCCACGTGTGTGCAGTGTGCCAGGGGCAATAGTCGCAAAGATTATGTGGGGTAACACGCTACAGAATCGTATTGCGTTGATGGCCAACAGAGCGCCAAATGCACGCCGGATTGTTCATGTGTGTTTAAAGAACAGAGAGTTTTCTAGGAGTGTGATTGTCGCGTGAAACCTTGTTCACCTGCAGACCGGTGATTGCAGAGAGCATTCACTTCCATGAACGCCGCTGCCGTGCGCCGCCTGGAGGAGGCTCACTTAGGTGTGGTGGATCGAGGACGATCCTTCGTTGGTCGTGGACGACCGTGGACCCACAGGAGACTACGGAGGTTGCTGGAAAAGCAGCGTGCAGGGCGCGCTCGGTGAAGAGTTGGGAGAAGTGGGGGTGAAGCACCAGTGTGGGCAATCTACAATATATGAATATGTATATACACACACATAGTTGAATTTAATGTAGACAAGAAGCCTCTGGATCTGATGAATCACATAGCTTCTGTCCTCTGACTCTGGCATTCTCCGCCTTGGCAAACCACACCCAAAGCTTTTCTGCAGCGCATGCCATTCTCGCCTGAATGGCATCTGCAATCGATGTAATGGACCCTGATGCAGGCCTGCTGCAGTGAACTGATTCTACCACTTCGTTTGTCAGCTTTGAACTTGTTCTTTTTCCATTCTGAAAAGAAGTACACAACCTTGACCGGGGCTGAGGTGGAAGACCCGACCCTGCACTTTGGACCTGCGGCTTGCAATCGTGCCCCCGAGATCTTCCTAGAATGGCTTGTCCATCACAGCGGTGCTAAAGCTCATTTCACCCATGTTCTAAGAACAATGTCAGATCAAAACATGTCCGGAACATGGTTTCATGTTCGGGACAGAAGGCTTCGCCTGTGACAAGGTCCGGAACAGGCACTTTGTTTAACTTTACAGAGTGTCCAAGCTTCGCCTGCCACAAAACATCAGAAGACCAGGCTTGGCCTGTCCTCTTGTGCTTCTCTCAAGGCGTAGCACCCGGTACAGGTGTGCCAGACCCTAAGACTTGGAGGCTTGGCTTGAAGACTCTGGGAGCAGATACAACCGATTGTTAACTGTCAAAGCAGCTCTTGAGGTCATGACGACCTGTTAGCAGACCACCCAAAGGAGGAAATCGAGCTGGCCTTCGACACTCTAAAATTGGCTGCTTTTTGCTTTGGAGACATGAATCTGTCAAGAGATCAACCACATTGCGAAGCACACATGACATTGATTGCAGTTTGCAGCAGAACAACAAGAAGAGCAACATACCCATAGAAAGCACGCAAAACCAAACAAATCTGTGCGTGAACACATGCATGCATGCGTTCAACAAAATGAAGGTGCGGCAACACACCTTCTCTGATCGATGGAAACCCATTCACCAGGTCTTCTTTCCTCGGCAAATGTTTAGAGAAAAGAAGAACCACTTTGAAAATTACAATCGCCTCTTTGCAAACAGGCCAGCACCACTTGATGCAAGAACCGTCGGTAGATTTGTGACGGCGATCGCTCGAATATAGAGCGCTGTGTGAAGTATGTGCGGTGGTCCCTGGGATGACACCAAATCAGGTGCATGCTTGATTCTGCAATGCAGCCACCGACCTGTCGCCCACACTAAGACTTGTGCGGATGGCAGTGTTCGTTGAGAATTGCTATGCCTTCCAACAGGTCAGCGCAAAACTTCCTGATGCAACTATAACGCTAACAACCTGTCTGCCACCGGTTGTTCCAGGTTCTTCCAAATCCATCGCGGTCTAGCCTGGGCCCAGATTCAATGCTACGCTGCAACTGGTAAAACCATTGAAGCCAAACAGGTACAGGTCTCCGGCATCGTGCCACCAAAGACATGACGCTGCGGACATACAGGAGCTCCAGCGTCACAGCTGATAATGGACCTAGAGAAAGAGAGAGAGAGAGGGAGGTAAAAAAATGTTACAGTAACTACTAATCAAACAAAACCCGACACTCTTGTTTGGGCCGTTGCTTAAGCACTGTTCGTTTTGGCTGAATAGAGTGGAGGGCAGTGTTAATGTTTGGTTGCTTCGAGGATGTTCCAGTGATCAAAGTGTCCTCGGAACTCGCAAGAACGAAAAAACATGCACCCTGAACCCTGGACCCTGAAAGTATGTATGCATATATATATAATATACACATTGCTTGTGCGCGTCCAAAACCTTCAGGGTTTCTCGGCCTTGGTCTTCCTGGCAAATCACCGGCTTCAATCCGCTTCAACATACTCGAGCACCTGAGCAGCACCCACATCATACTCTAGCTCCGCAGGCGCTTGTGTGTGTGTGTGTGTGTTATAGTTATCGTTATACAACAGCATCAACCCAAGAAAACACGTCACTATTCACAAAAGACTCAATGCTCGGGACAACAAGGAAACAAAAGCACAGGCAAAGTGTTCCTTTCACTTCAAAGAAGCCAACCTGGGAACAAGGAAGAAGTCACCTACACCCAAACGAGGAGACCAAAAAAATAACGTGAGAGGAGACAAAGGGCAAACCCAAGAAAGCAGCAAAATCGTTCGGTGAGAACCCCGAATTGGTTTTCTCGGACACACTGAGGAAATGAAACACAGGAAACAAGAACAGCATCATGCAGTGACAGCCACTAAAACCGAAAGGTATGAAGGCGGACAAGCTGCCGGCAGAGAAGAGCACAATCATTTTTTGTGCTAGAAGGGGCATGCAGGGGAGCAACTCGAAGACAAAATGAATCAGAAGCCGAATCATGTGGCAAAAGCGAACAAACATAGCTGCGGACTCACAAGCAAACGTCCTTGGACTTTGTTTTCATCTAGGATCCCTCAGAGCGCAAACTAACGTCTGAATCAAAGCTTGTAGCCGTGGTGTCTACCACTGGCCGCATGAGACAGAACAGCTCAGGAAAGGCAAGCAAAAGCGAGATGTTCCAATGCAATCTCATCTCGAAAGAACAAATCAATAGGAGGCCAGGAGGTGGGTGATTGAAGATCCGTCAAATCAGCTGCACAGGTATACGTCGAGTTGGCAGCTGCTAATGGCGCAATTGCTGAATCCTGGCAGCTACCAATCATGGGCATACTGCCGTTCTAGCTAGATCCCGGCAAGGATACATGCTGAATCAGATAGGGCGAGACATGCACATGCCACAATCCATGACATTTAGCTCATTCAGAGGGATGCGTGTACGTCTCAATACCCTTAAATCACCCCACTTGTTCGCTGCAAATTATCCCGGCAAGAGACCCCAAACAGTGTGTGTGTGTGAGGTCTGTAAGCAGAAAGTCTAGAGATCTAGATGCATTGGGGTCCAGAGAGGTGATGGTGGTGATGAAGTGAAGGTGGGTGTGAGTGAGTGCGGGTGAGAGGGAGTGTGAGTGTGAGTGAGAGAGTGGGAGAGTGAGTGTGAGTGTGCGTGAGAGTGAGTGTGGATGAGAGTGAGAGTGAGTGTGAGTGTGAGTGAGCGTGAGTGAGAGTGAAGGTGGGTCTTAGTGAGTGTGGGTGAGGGTGAGAGTGTGTGTGAGTGAGAGTGGGAGAGTGAGTGTGGGTGGGTGAGAGTGAGAGTGAGAGTGAGAGTGAGAGTGAGAGTGAGAGTGAG